ACAGAAACTACTATCGTTGCTCTGCATCTCACACAAACAGGCAGACACACAATAATAAGATGACTTTTATTCTTCATAGAGGGCCTCAAACTCTAGTCGGCAAGAGTGAAGGCACACTCATTAAGTGGAGGCACAGCTGCCTTAGAATTTTACCGAGACTGGGGCACCTGGGTGGCTCAGTCTAGTTGAACATCTGATTTAGCTCAGCTCACAGTCTCGGGGGTTTGAGCCCCGCATCGGGCTCTCTGCTGTCACCGTGGAGCCGGCTTCAGATCCTTTGTCTCCCTCTCTCTGCCCCACCTCTCACCTCTCAAAAATAACAATTTAAAAAATTGTAAAAAAAAAAAAATAAAAAGAAATTTTATTGAGTCTTAAAGGATCAACATTTTCTTTCTTATTTACATGTGAACATTGGTGGAAGTAGAAGTCAACGTGAAACCATGGATCCTGCCTCACCATTTGGACAAATGGCTTAACTTCTTGGGGATTCAGTACTTATCAGTCATAACATCAATGGTTAGTTGGATTAGATGCCTTGGAAATAATTTTCTTTGGTTATTATTTTATTATTTTCCATAAATGGCTCAACTTCTTATATCCTAATCCTATTCATACGCAAATTATATTATTATTTTAAAAATATGTCTCTGTCTTCCAACTTTCACAATTCAGCACAATTGCAGACTATGCTATGAAACACACCAAGCTAACCACGATGGTCCCCATTTCCCAATCACTGTCCCCAGAAGGCGGTGCTCGGAATAGAATCCAGTTACCGTCCCAACATGGGCAGAGAACACACAACTCGTCATGGCTCTCCCTCAAAGGATCCCCACAGCTTTGCCACAGTCTCTTGGCAAGGTGTGCACTTTGGTTTCAACTCCTGGGACTGGGTGCCCTCTTGGCTGAATCTGCTTTTTCAGAAGCAGCACCGCTTAGAACCCAGGGGTCCCTGCTGTCCTTCAGAAGTGCCCAGTGGACAGTCCTCTGCTCCCGGCCCATGTGGAAAACAGAGAGTCACTTACTTAAATGGGTGGAGATGACTCTTCACCTTCTCTTGCTTTTTCACACCTTTCTCTCTATTATAATAGCTACGGGCAAGAAGATTGAAAAGTGAGCCTTTGCCCCACATTCGATCAGACAGTTCATTTTCTAAACAGAAGGCAGAATAGAAGGAAAGCAGGTGCTTTGTTGTAACTATCTTAGCTTAAAAGGGCTTTTTAGCCTTCACCTTAGGTTTATGACGTATTTCAATGGACCCGAACAATTTAGGGCATTACAGACCATGATAATAACGAATTCAGTTTGTTAAGCCTTCCATTGGCATAAGAGAGAAACAAGCCTCATGCTTATTGCTGTAGCTTTTGGAAACAGGAGTTTGTAAAAAAGACCATGGAATGGTGACATGCTCACCTCTGTTTATTACAGGCACATTCCTCGGGTTTTCTCCTCTTTAGGTGTCCCCTCACTTCTCTTAAATTCTTAATTTTATCTTGCAAAGCTTCAATCTGGAAGACATATAATGAACAGTTACTTTTTAAGGTAAGGATTTTCTTTCTTTCTTTTTTTAATTTTTTAGTGTTTTATTTATTTCTGAGAGAGAGAGAGAGAGAGAGAGACAGCGTGAGCAGGGGAGGGTCAGAGAGAGAGGGAGATACAGAATCTGAAGCAGGCTCCAGGCTCTGAGCTGGCTCACAGCACAGAGCCCGACACGGGGCTCGAACCCACGAACCGTGAGATCATGACCTGAGCTGAAGTCNAGAGAGAGAGAGAGAGAGAGACAGCGTGAGCAGGGGAGGGTCAGAGAGAGAGGGAGATACAGAATCTGAAGCAGGCTCCAGGCTCTGAGCTGGCAGTCAGCACAGAGCCCGACGCAGGGCTTGAACCCATGAACCATGAGATCATGACCTGAGCTGAAGTCCGACGCCTAACCGACTGAGCCACCCAGGTGCCCCAAGGATTTTCTATGCTGCGTACCTCTCTTTTCACCTTCTTTGCTGTGTTCCATCATTCCAGCTCTTCATCTGAGATGATATTTAACTTGGAAACCAACTGGGCACAGAATATGCCTACCTCGATATTCCTACTGACGTGCTATAGGTAAACACTAACAGATGTCTCAACTTACAAATGAAGAATCATTTCCTTGCAGGGATTTCAGTCCCCACTATGATTCTCACACTCAATTTTGTTTTTAGGCAGGACTATCACTCTATCACTGGGGAAAGATAAATACCTTGCTATTCTATTTTTCACGTAATCGTAATTATAAAAAAGATGAAGCGGACGTGCGGTGAGCCCCCCCAGCCCCGGCCGGGCTGGCGAACCGACCTGGCATTTCGAATACACCTTCCCATCACACAGCCATGGCTAACCTCTTTATCAATGTACGCTTTGTGGTCCTTCCAGGCTCTGGCTGACTGGTACAGCTCTCTCTCACAGTGGATCGTATCATTCGGAAGAATAAAGCACCTGCAGAAACAAACAAACCCAAAACATTTGAAATAGGTTTATATGCTAATATTAAAAAAAATAAAAATAGCAAAGGGAATATAATTATCTTCTAAACTCTTAATTTGGATGCAAGCAGGAGCTGAGCCTGGTCTACAGCAATGTCTCCTGCCCATCGGAATAGGTAAAGGATGGTGTCAGAGAGAGACTGTTACTAAGATCACCTTTCAGAAAATATTCAATACTCATGTCTCCAAGAACAGATACCACCAGAAAACTCCAATTTTGAAAGCCTCGTCAAATACAGTAGGAAAAATGGGACTTTTCACAGTTATGATGGAAATAAGTTGTCTGATTAAAGAAAGGCAGGGTTCGAAGGGGGTTATTTATCCCATTCATTCTGTTACAGGGAGACTGCCTGAAGTACCCCATTAAGTTTGAAGCAAAGAGGGGCGCCTGGGTGGCTCAGTCAGTTAAGCTTCTCACTTCTGGTCATGATCTCACAGTTTGTGAGTTTGAGCCCCGCGTCTTCGGGCTTTGTGCTGACAGCATGGAGCCTGCTTGGGATTTTCTGTCTCCCTCTCTCTCTGCCCACCTGCCCCCCGCTTCACCCCCCAAATAAATAAATAAATAAATAAATAAATAAACAAATAAACAAACAAACATTTAAGAAAAGTTTGAAGCAAAGAAACAGCCCTAGGGATACAAAGGAATTGGGATAAGGGGTCAGTCAATACTGAAATCCTGGTCTAAACCTCTTAGCGTATAACAACTGCAGTTGACCCCGGAAGAACACAGGTTAGAACTATACAGGTTCACTTATGTGCAGACCTTTTTCTTTTCTTTTCTTTTCTTTTCTTTTTTTTTTGGATAAACACAGTACAGTACTGTAAACACACTGTCCTCTTCCTTGTGATTTTCTTAACAACATTATCCTCTCTAACTTACTTTATTGCAAGAATACAGTAAATGATTACACATAAAATCCATGTGAATCCATTGTTTATGTTACCACTAACGCTTCTGGTCAGCAGTAGGCCACTAGTAGTTAAGTTTCTGGGGAGTCAAAAGTTATATGTGGATTTTCAATTGTGTGTATTGGGGGGAGGGTCTGTGTCCCCAACCCCCACCGTGTTCAAGGTCAACTGTACAGGCACTGGAAGAGCGGTCCCAAAGATAAAAATCTTGACAGAGCTTATGACAGCATGCCCCTCCAAAGTGATAAAATGAGAGAAAAAAAGACCCTGCTAATAAATTCAGACAGAGAATTTTTCTCTATCAAGAGAATAAGTGGATCTTGGGGCGCCTGGGTGGCTTAGTCGGTTAAGCGTCCAACTTTCGCTTAGGTCATGATCTCGCGGTTCGTGGGTTCGAGCCCCGTGTCGGGCTCTGTGCTGACTGCCAGCTCAGAGCCTGGAGCCTGTTTTGGTCTGTGACTCCCTCTCTCTCTGACCCTCCCCTGCTCACGCTGTCTCTCTCTCTCTCTCCTAGAAATAAATAAAACATTAAAAAAAAAAAAGAGAGAGAATAAGTGGATCTTGGAAGGACACGGAAAACCAAGGTGGGCCTTTCAAGCTGCGAGAGAATCAGCTCCCTTCTCTGTTTCCATGACTCCCGGGACCCTCCTTCATGCTCCCCAGGACCCGCAAGGGGTGGTGAGGTGTAGCTGCATCTTACATCCGTTCTCCGGGCTCCCCAGTCCTCTGAGGGCTGGGTTTCATTTCTGAGGCCGTGAGGGTACAACTGTTCTGAGCCGCAGTAGCTGTGCAGCACCCAGAGCCTCTAGCGGTGCCAGTAACGGCTTCCATCTGTTTTCCAGACTCCCACAAAGGTAGCTGTTCAAGGGCAGAGTTCCATGCCTGCTCAGTTAAGCTGTGGCAGAACCACTCTGGCTCAGTTCCCAGAGGATCAGCCTTAATGTGAAACCGAACCCAAAGCATGTGTCCAAACGTTTGCCTCTTTGGACTCCTCGCTGCTTCTTTAAACCCTAGTTGTTACACAGGCCAGCCTCCAGCCCCTGCACTGCCAAGTCATACCACTTTTAGTAAAGAAGCAAAATAGTGATAAGATAGGGTGACAACTGTGAACTCAGCCTTCGAGAACTGAGCCTTCCTACTTGTGTGTCACTCGCACAGTGGTGGGCAAGCCCAGGGCATTGCCTCTGTCTGCCAACATCGTGTCCCTGTCGCTGGCAGCCTGGTGATCTCCAGGCCCCCTGTGGCCTTCATCATGGCGCTTGGCAATGTTTCTTGGTCGTAACACTTGTAATTCTTCTTCTTCCAGGTTTATGTCATATATTTCGCCTTCAAATTCGACGGACAAGGACCGCGTTTGCCGAGTGTGGACAAATCGGGGCTTGTACTCTGGAAATAAGGGAAGATATATGTTAATATGGACATCCATGTGTAGTTGAAGAGGGAGGAAAATCACCACTGGGCTCATCGAGCACTCGGGGAAGGGGAAGCAGTGTGCACTGCATTGTCTAGAGGCAGCGGGGTGCAGCAGGCAGCCTGCTAGATTTCACGTTAGGAGCAGCGGGCTCTTGTCTGGGCTCTGGCGCTGCACTGACCCTTGGGCCTCAGCCCTTCACCCCTCCAGGGAGGGGTAAGTCTGGGTGCCTTCTAAGTTCCCTTCCACTTACAGCAGGCCTTGAACTTCCACTCTGTGTTTTCAACATGAACTGCTAAGGCAGTTTGTTTGGATAGAATTATACTCCCAATTATGGTATTATTAATAATACTGTCATTTATCGAGCTTTTGCTATGTACCATCCACCTCATACTTATCTCTAATCCACCACCTTGGAAGCCCCGTATTATTGTAATCCATCCTTACATTAAAAAAGCATATTAGATTGTCAGAACAGGCTTATAAATTTTGGCTATGATTCTTAGGGATGGAACTCTGAAGCTCTGGATGCTTCCTACACTTTGCAAGGTTATGTGGCCAATAGCATGGGAAGCAGGATGCTTGTCTCCCAGATTCAAAAGGCTACAGTCTTCCTAACACATCGGGCTGCTTTCCCAAAGGGTAAGTGCTCTCGACTCCTTCTATTTGTACAAATGACAGAGGGATGCTCTAAGAAAAATTAAAATTTGAAAATGCTCTTAGCAGCCAGCTGACTAGTGATACCTGGCAGATGGACGGTAAGGCCAGGGGGCAGCCAGCATGTGTTCAGGCCACTGTCATCCACTGTCACGGCTCATGGTGTGTTAGGCAAGAGCTTTCACGAGCAAACCTTGGCCCTTCCTCATCAGATGCTCTTCAGCTCTGAGGGGACACACTCCACACTCACGGGGCCTTTCTCTCTCCTGCCTTATGCTAACATAGGAGGGAGGGGAGCACACAAGCTGCAGAATCAGACTCCTGCTCCACAGGGTCCCCCTGTGATGACAGTTTCCAGAGGAGGGAACGCCTCCGTAACAGCCAGCAGGCCACTGAGTGTGCTCAGGAACAACTCCTGTCCTCAAATATGGGAGCTTCCGTGCGGTTTGAAAGGTGGCCCCAGACATCTCTACTTTGTGCTCAGTTTGAACAACAGGGTGTACGGTCACCACTGTGGAGTGGCATCTAACCTGCTGGGAGAGAGGCTGCCCTACCTTCTAGCCCAACACTGGCGATCAGCATCTGTTAAGGGAGGCTGTGGGGAGCCTCTGTCCCTTGTTGGCTTTCTATTGGTCTCTTTGAGTGAATTATTAAACTTGACATTTTCTCCCAGGGAGGACAGAAGTCTCCCAGATCAATCATTCTCAGCCTTTGGGTTATGGATTCCTTTAAGCATGTATTGAAGGTTATATCCAGAAAAATGTGCACATGCACACAGAATATACTTATAATTTTGGATAAAACATTAGAGGGCTCATGATCCCCTAAAGTCCATCTGTGGAGTCCAGGATAAAAAAGCAATGCTAAGAACTTCTATTCTTCTAGGGATTGGTTTGATTTCCTAATTTACACATGGGAGGCACCAGGCTGGCTCAGTCAGTAGAGCATGCGACTCTTGATCTTGGGATTGTGAGTTCAAGCCCCACGTTGGGCATACAGCCTATTTAAGAAAAAAAAACAAACCCTTACCTAATTTACAGCACAGAAATGAACTTAATGTAGCTTACTGAATTGCCAGAGAAATGAGTCATTTCTCATATTCAGCCACTAGATGGCACTAGACTCTCGTTCTTTTACAGAAGGTGCCAGAATCGGTTTTCACCTATGTCTAACCATAGGTATCTCATAGCTGCGTGATAGAGTTTTTATAAAGAAGATGCCAAGCAGTGCTTTTCATACTGAATTTGACTAGTTCGACCCTTCCAGCCAACAACAGGAATTTAAAAAATACTGTCCTTAAAACATGTCCCTTTAAAAAAAGCATATATGCTTTTCGTATTAGTTAAATGTGAATTTTTATTTTCTCTCACTCTCTTTCTTTTAAAGCGGCTCAAGGCAGACTAATCAGGACATTAGCATCAATGTAAAATACACCTGACCTAAACTCTACCCTCTGCCCCGGCCCCACCTTTTCCTCTGTAAAAGTTTCCTGTGCCTGTATATTCTGTGTCTGGTGTGCTTACTGAATATATTTTCGTTCTGTGCTTAAGTTAAAGTGTCCACATACCAAGTTAGCTTTTGTATTTGGAACAGAACCATATTGGCCTTTCGTCCTAAAGCTGTGCTTTGATAATACCTAAACTGTGGAAGGAGCAAGCCTTTTGCGTCTCTAATGTCAAAGCCTTGGCCTGCCACTGAGCCGTCGTGCGAGCTGCTTACTCGGAGTCCCTTGGTTTCTCAGGAACTGCCTTGGGCTCTTCCTCTGGCTTCTGCCGGTGCGATAGCCAGACTCCCCGCAAGTGCATTCCTTGTCGTGGAAGCCGCGAGAGTAGAGGTTGCGCGTGCTCTGCCGGACCGTGAGCGGGTCGCTGGATCCTTTGCACTTGTGGATTCGGAGCTTGCCGGATGTGTCCTCGATGCACTGCCACTTCTGCAAAAGCCAACGTGAGAGCGGGTTATCCCTGCTGCACCAGGTGCCTCGTGTGAAGGACTGCGGCGTCGGGTTCTGGCAGCCCGGGCAACCCCGGGAAGCAGAGCCAACCCCGGACAGCAAGCTTTTCACTGACCCTGCCGTGAGCCGACCCCCCGGTCCTCTCCGTTCTTTCTTTCATGGGAGGCAAAGCCAGATGACAGTGAAATCATTGGAAATCAGAACCACCTCAATGACACCAGACCCCAAAATTGATATATAAATCCTCAGGATCCAGACTAAACAGAGTCTTGAGTGAAACACGTGAAAAGCCCTGAATTCGCCCAGCTGTCACGGCTGTTTTCACCAGGCCCCTCTTTCTCTGCAGAAGCAGACCTGGCTGCTTTGTTCTTTCTCCGCCCCTGAATTTCTGACTCGCCCGGGGAGGAGTGGCGGAAGAGGAAGACGGAGAGGAGCTTAATCGGCACGTGGCACAGGGCAGGCCAGCTCTCACAGGGCCCAGACGTTCCCAAACGCGTCAGGTTTTCTCTGGGCCCGTTTGTCCTCTCCAGCCCCTGCTGCCCAGCAGGGCAAGCTCACCCGCAGAGACGCGCCCGGGGAGCTGGCACCCGCTCGGCGCCTTTGAGCCTTCCGTCACGCCTGCGCAGACACCGCAGGCTGCGTTCTAGATCAGCAGGACACGGCACTGGGTCTCCGTGTCCCTCCCACCCCCTGCCCAGCCTCCTTGAACTTCAATCTGCCTGAAATAAGAGCACTTCGCCTTGGGGACATTTCATGGGATCCTCCATCTCTTACTTAAAGACCTAATACCCTTCCTTTTACTTTTTATTTTCCCCTGGCCTCCTCCCTAAAATGGTAATTTGGGAAGAATACTGACCTTGGTCTGAAGTCAACCACAGTTGTGATAACATGCTGTCGTGCAGTTATCAAACTTTTGTCTTTTTTCCTTCCATCTATGAGTATCCCCTGTATACAATTATTGTATGGACACATACAATACAATTAAATACATACAATTTAAATGGACACATTTCTAAACAGTGGCCCAAGCAACAGCCCCTGTAAAATTATGTATTTGGTGTGCTGGTTACATATTTCAAAATATATATTAAAATAAACCAAAAAATATTAAATGAAAGATGCTCTTTCCTGAACCACATAAAATGATCTCACCGTGCCCTCTGTGTACCTGTAGCCATACTATGGGTTACATTTTAATTTCAGAGTGATTTAATGGAAGGTAAAATTTAGCCAAGGGTCCCAGAAGGCTTGGTCAGCAGACAAAATGGAGTACGACCCACTGAGATACTACCTTATGCCAGTCATAGTGGCTAAAATGAACAAATCAGGAGACTACAGATGCTGGCGAGGATGTGGAGAAACGGGCACCCTCCTACACTGTTGGTGGGAATGTAAACTGGTGCAGCCCCTCTGGAAAACAGTGTGGAGGTTCCTCAAAAAATTAACAATAGAACTCCCCTATGACCCAGCAATAGCACTGCTAGGAATGTACCCAAGGGATACATGAGTACTGATGCATTGTGGCACGTGTACCCCAATGTTCATAGCAGCACTCTCAACAATAGCCAAATTGTGGAAAGAGCCTAAATGTCCATCAACTGATGAATGGATCAAGAAGATGTGGTTTTGTAGATACAATGGAATACTACTTGGCAATGAGAAAAAATTAGATCATGCCATTTGCAGCAATGTGGATGGAACTGGATGGTATTACGCTAAGTGAAATAAGTCAGTCAGAGAAGGACAGATATCACATGTTTTCATTCATATGTGGATCTTGAGAAATTTAACAGAAGACCATGGGTGAAGGGGAGGGGAAAAATAGTTACAAACAGAGAGGGAGCGAGGCAAACCACAAGAGATTCTTAAATATAGAGAACAAACTGAGGGTGGACAAGGGGGAGTGGGGGAAAGGGAAAAGTGGGTGAGGGGATCTAAAGAGGGCACTTGTTGGGATGAGCACTGGGTATTGTATGAAAGTAATGAACCATGGGAATCTACCCCAAAAACCAAGAGCTTTATACATTGTATGTTAGCCAATTTGACAATAAATTATATTTAAAAACAAAAACAAACAAAAAACCCAAAAAACCAAATGGAGTGCAACCATTCACAAAGGACCAAGGTACAGAGTCACATTTTGTTTTCTCTTAACGGAGCCATGTGCCCTCAATAAGTGTTGAATTATCAGAAGCTACCTTCGCACTTCTAGCAGATAGTCCCCAAATCCCAGGCCCATAGGGCTTAGTCTATGATCTTGCTTTACCCCCCATACACTCTTGGTGCTACTGAATTCGGTGATTTCAAGCCATATCAGGTTACAATCTTCTTTTGTGGCTTGACCAGTGTATCTGGAATGTCCATCATCTCCGTCCACAGAAGCAGGCCCAAGGGACAGGGCAACTAACTCTATTTGCAAAACCACGAATAGGCAACACAAACAAGCACAGTCAAGAACTAACTAAGTTAGAGATGATTTAGCTGAAAAAAAAATGAAGTCAACATGATCAGGCACACAGGAGTTATGCCAGGTCAGTGGTTCTCACACAGGGCTGGGCACTGGGAGTCTCAAAAGCTCCCATGGTGATTCTAATGTGCAGTTGGGGTTAAAAACAACTGCTTTCAATTTGCAGCTGGAATCCATCACAGGGGCAAAAGAGGTCTAAGTAGCTCACTTGGAAGCGTCTTTGGGAGGGATGTATGCATTTTGGGGCATGGATATGCCAAGGAAGCTGTGTCTAGAAATGTACTGAGGTAATCAGGGCAGAAAACGACTCTAGTTGAACAGATGTACACTACCAACTTGTCTATACTGGCAGGACTTTGCATTCTCTGTAAGACTAACCAGTTTTCCTTACTTTCTCTCCACAGGTAGCTGACAAGTGATAGAACTTAAGTCTTTGTAAATGCTTAGCTGGAAGCTGTGTGCACCTGTTCTGTGGTTCCACCATTCAATGTGGAGACCAGTGCTTTTCAAGCCAGGGTTTGTGGCACTTCCAGACACATCCAATGAGCTTGAGGAGGTGCCATGATGTTCTCAAAAAAAGTTCTCAGAAACTGATATACAATTTCATTAAGGAATAACTATATGCCATACGGAATTTTTGCTGGTGAGAAGCATCAGCAAAATCGATAACCTTTTATAGTTCCAGAAACTTTGACAATCAGTGGCACTAGAGTGTCAGTCTAGATCTGTATTTGTCCTAAATGCAAATGGTTTAAGACTTATCCATCTATCTGGGTAATTGCTAACTCAAGCATGCAAAAACTACGAGTTCACTACTTAATTCCAAGGGTAGCAAAAGAAGAGGCCAGTGGATCTACAGCCTAGTAGAAGACTAAGAAGTATGTCATTTTCTACCAGACAGAAAAACATGGTTGTCTTTATTCTTGTATGGCCTTGTGTCTTTTGTGGTTTGAATTTATACCAATTTTAGTACAAATACTAATTTTAAAAACACATAGCTACAGTGAAAACCTTCCTTAGTTTTGTAACCATAACACACTTAAAAAAATTCTGCCTTTTTCTTGGTCTGGAAGAACCGAGTGTACAGGTAGACTCTGATAGAACAGAAAGTGTAGGCAGACTTTTGAGTGATTTGGTCGATTTTGACTATAACCTGCAATTTCCCATTAGCCAAATTCCTTGCTAATGTCCTATGGAGTAGAAAGGAAGAGAAGGAGTGTTTCTTTCCTGAGAGATGAATTTAACCAAACCTGAGGTCTGGTACCATCCTGGGCACTGACGATGTATCACACAAATCAAATATACATACATATATGTATGCATCTGTATACACATGTGCACACATGCCCACATATGGTAGAGGTATGCATACAGCTACACACATTCTTGTATAAAACAAGGTCCATGGTGAAAAATGCCAGTTATTTTCTATACCATGGGCCCTTTGAACAAGCCATAGACCCTATTAAATGGAGAGATAGCTAGAGGCTTTCAAATTTTTCTTAGTGGCAATAGTACCAGGAATTTTAATGAAACGTAATTACCACATATTTGCCACAGTCATTTTAGCTCGATGTCATGATAATTTTCATGGCTGAGCAATAAAACCTTGAATAACTGCCACTATCGTGGTCATCACAGAGAATTTATAGAGGGAGGCGAAGGAAGAGAACTTTCAGAACTCACACCACAAGCCACTTAACTGCTCAAAATACGAGGAGATGGTTTTGCAATGCAGAAGAGATTCCGGAATCAGATGCAAACGTGAACTCAGGGAGGCATCTGCTAACGGGACACAAAGTCAGCCTCAGAAATGAGCTTTGTTAAACATCTCCACCCCCCATCCTCATGCAGAAATACAAACATCAAACTGTCTCCCTTTTATCTACTCTCTTGAAGTTTATCAGTAAATCAGTTAACTGCCAAATCCAATCGTCTCTGTCTTCCCTGACCACTCTACCTTCTGTAAATTCCTTTGCCACTTTGTGGGACCTGGTTTCAACATTTCTCTTGCCTCTCTGGCTCCATCTGTGCCAATCATTCAACATACATTCATCCCACAACTATTTCTGCACACGTTCTGTGGATGAGGGGCTAGATAAGACTATGTAAATAATTTTTTAGGTTATTCTGATCTCTTTTTAGGCTTTCAAATCACACTGGAATTTGGAATTAAAGGCAAGGACCATGTCTCATACCCCTTAGTTATTCCCTGAAGTTAGCTCAGCATCAGATCACTCTGTTTAGCAATTATGTCTTAGTATTTTTTGATAGATTACATACACTTATATATAAACAACACACAATGAAGAAGAGAAGGATGGCTATTTTGGTATAAAGATTTTTGTGTGGTTTGGTGGGATCCAATCTAATGAGAAATATGACAAAATGCCATTCAAACAATTCCCTTCAACACTGTCTTTATCACCTTCATTATCATCATCTAGGGAACTCTTACTTGATGCCAGAGTAATGTCTAGAACACTTTATATAAATTTATTCATTTAATCATTATGACAGCCCAAAGCACTAACATAATTCATTCATTGGACTAGGATTTTGTAGTAGTGAAGATCACCTATATGCTACCTGGGACTTGAGAATGGCATTTTATATTCATAATGATGTGACTCAGTGGCACAAGTCTGGACTTTCAAGCTAGAAAAGTCTGGATTTGAATGTCAGCATTGTCACATTGCTATGTGTCCTTGAGCAAGTCAGCTACACATTCTAAATGTCATGAGTATTATAACTCACTCTCAAGCAGCAAGAACTCAGTACATGGTAGGCACTCAACAAAGGGAGTAATTGTTGTTATTATTATTATTGTTATTACTTCCCAACCCTCTCCCCCCCCACCACATACGTAAGATTAAGACCAAAAGAATTTGGTCTTAGGCAAACTTAGTGAAAGGTGGACATTTTCAAAGGAGATAAGTATTGGGTTAGAATGTGAAGACCTCGATTTTAATTTTCTTTCATTGCTAACGCTATGGCTTTGAGCAAATTACAGAATCTCTTTGTTCTTCCAGATTCCACATCTGGTAAAATAATACTTGCTCCTTCTGGCCTCAAGGATATGTCATGAGAATAAATTGTTTTTGGAGTTCTCAAAAAAAAGATGCATCCTATAAATCCAGAGCAATACTATTATAATTGACCTTTAACAATGGTTAGCCAATCCTTGGGCAAGTTCATGTTTCCTCTTTGTAAATTATATATAATACAGTAATTATTATTTAGTGGGGAGACTGTGGCTTTGAATCACATAGATCTTGGTTTGAACTCAGACTTGTCACACTTCCAGCTGGGTGACTTTGGTCAAGTTACTTTCCCATCTGAGCTTTCGTCTCCTTATATTTAAAATGAGCCTAAGATCTCTTCTATAGTATAATTTTCAGGTATAAAATGTTCTGTGTAAAATGCCCAGCACAATATTAGATGAAGATAGAACTCTGCCTACTTCCTTTTCCTGATGTAACTACTAGATAATGATGATACTTTCTACGTTTTCAATGGCATATATTTCTCAGACTGGTCAAGAATGTTCTATATTCTTATTTATGCCCATTTATGTCCATTTTCATGAGTAAGAAACAAAAGTTTTGGCTACAACTTTTTCAAAAGTTTTGATTACAACTTTTTCAAAGGTACACTGCAATGAAAGTTTAATTTTACACACACACACACACACACACACACACACAGATTCATTCTCCATTATTATATGGCTTTGGTCATAGTGCAGGTCACATCATGCACTCTGAAATGTAATAACCATTCAGTAATTTTTGGATAAACTGATTATCCTTTAGGCCAGTACCAACATCATGAAAAACAGTTACTTGCATGTGGACATGTGTTTAGAATTTTTGTCTCAACACTGGGAATATAAAAACACCATATAAACATCCTGGTTCAAATTGTTACTTAGCTGAAACCACTGTCCAATTTTCTCACCAATACGAAGTAGGGTTACTTGTGCTGAGGAGTTTCTTCCTATTTTCTTTGAGATGGGGTGAGTTGGGATGTAGGAGGGAAAGTGGGAAGGAAAGAGAGGCAGAAGAAAATGTTTCCTCCTTTAGATTTTAATCTGGATGATTAAAGTAAATAATGAAATATTGGAGGAAGTATTGTTCTTACAGTTTGGGGAAAGGAAAGTTGGCCAACAAGTGATAGCCAGTATTTATTGAGTGCCTATTATGTGCCAGGTACCAGTTCAAATGTTTAGTACACTTAACTCATATAATCTTTTCAGTACCTCCTCAAATAATCTTTACTATTATGATGCCCGTTTTATTTATTTATTTATTTAATTTATTTTTTAATGTTTTTATTTATTTCTGAGAGAGAGAGAGAGACAGCGTGAGCAGTGGAGGGTCAGAGAGAGAGGGAGATACAGAATCTGAAGCAGGCTCCAGGCTCTGAGCTAGCTATCAGCACAGAGCCCGACGTGGGGCTCGAACCCATGAACCATGAGATCATGACCTGAGCCGAAGTTGGATGTTTAATCTACTGAGCCACCCAGGTGCCTCTATGATGCCCATTTTAGAGATAAAGAAACTAAGGCAGAGTTAGGTTAAGTAACTTGCCTGTGGTCAAATACAATGCAAACAATGGACTCAGGATGCAATCCCAATTGAGTAGGACCCTAATAATAAAAAAAAGAATGGTTTGGGCAGAATGTGAGGCTTCTGTTGAGCCTTAGTTGAGGAAGTAGCATTTGGGAAGGTGGATGAGAATGTTACAGTTAAAAGACAGAGAGGTGGGGCTCCTGACCAGAGCGGGTCATATTAGGGAGCAGTGGGAAACAAGAGCATACATTAAATAGGGTGTGGCCACAGTAGGTAGTTTATAAGTAAAATGTCCTTATGTTTGTCTTTTTCTGACTTGTTTGGAACATCATTAAATATGGTTTGACATTTAAGCCTGTGGTTTGTATTTTGAAAATTGCACAGAAGCCAAACCATCTAGATACACAATTCAGACATATCCTTCAGTGTAGGTTGAAGAGGGGAGGAGGCCAGGTTTCAAGGCTGGGCCATCCATAATGAGCCCTGCACTCACAAATGTTCAGCCAGAGGGTGCACTGGGGCTTGGTCCTTCTGGCCGGTCCCTCTGGACTCAGGAGCGCCATGACAAGTGTCCATGAGCTGAGATTTTAACCAGGGCACAGTGAGTTTCTGGAAACAGGCTGTCAGTTTCTGGCAAACTAGCCAGATCTTACTGGTAAATGCCTTTTATTCCTGCTCTGCAGCTGGTCACAAAGGGTCAAGGGCTCTATGGTCAGAGGGATAATTTGGGGGGATGAAAACCCAGATCTTGAGTTAAACCAGTACCTTCAACAAGCTACATTCTGATTTCCCAAATAGTATCATCTTGCTTGATCTGGGGTTCTTTGATAATTTTAAACAAATTTTGGATTTCATACTGATACAATAGTAGAGCAGCAAACAAAATTGCAAAGTTGCTGGAGTTTAACAACTCACAAAAGGACATGAAATGTGCTTTATCAAAAAAAAAAAGCAAGCTGTTTTTTCTTCAAATGACAGAATCTATGAAATGTACTTCGAAACTGAATGCCTAGGGAATTTCTCTTTTATGTAACTCCTATTTAAGGAGTCAATCACTGTACCTAGAAGAAGCCAAAACCAGTAACGCTTACCTGACGTGAGTGATTCTCAATCCTGGCTACTCACAGGACTCACCCAGGAGCTTGAAAAAAAATCACTGATATTTGGGTCTCATCCCCAGAGGGTCTGTTTTACTTTGTCTAGAGTGAAGCTTGAACATCAGCATTTGTGAAGCTGCCTGTATGATTCTAATGTGCAGTCCTGCGTGGGAACCGCTACATGCTGTGAGTGTGTCCTGAGCCCGTGCCTGCAGTCAGGCAAATGCCAT